GAAAGATGTGAAAGCACTGGAGAGTGTGCAGAAGTGATTTACAAGATTGGCTCCAGGAAAGATAAACTTCAGCTGTAAGGATAGATTGATGAAGTTGGGGCTGTTTTCCTTCGAGAAAAGAAAGTTGAGAGGAGATTTGATCAAGGTTTTCTAATTCATGAGTAGGCTGGATTGAGTAGATAGGGAGAAGCTGTTCTCACTCACAAGAAGAACAAGAATGAGAGGAGACAGATTTAAAGGGATGAGCAAAAGTAAAAAGGATGATGTGTGAAACAAGCTTTTTCACACAGTGAGTATGGATATGGAATGCACAGCACTGTGTGGAAATGTGGAGGCAAGTTCAACTGAAGCATTCAAGAGGATTTTGGATGATTATTTGGATATAAAATAGGCAAAGAATATGGGGAAAAAGCAGGAGATTGGCACTAGCTATCAATACTCATTGAAGAGCCAGTTCAGGTACAATGGGCTGAAACAGCCTCCTTCTGTGCCATAACAATTCTGTTGTTCTGTGGTGCCAGAGTAAAGGATATCATACAGACGATACAGGATATCCTAGAGGGATAATGGAGTGAGCCAAAAGTCGAATGTGTCAATGCCAATGACAAATAAGGCAGTACTTCAGCCCCTAAAGGAAATATTTCAGGAGTTATAGAGCACAATTTTGAAGGGAATAAATGCTGGATTATGACTACTGTAGTGTCACACACAAGATAGGGAGGATCAATGTGTGCTTTGAAGCATAGAACAGCAGGGAAAGCTTTGGATTGTTGGGCACAGAGACCAGTTTTGGAGCAGAAGGCACTGATTTAAAAAGGGATACAAAGCACCTTACAGCAATGGGTCCTCAGAGAAAGAGTCAGTAGTGTCATTTGACAGGAAGCACACTAAATTGGTAGGGACATGATTACAAGTACAAAGAAGTAATCTGTATGAATGGATTTTTTTGGATTAGTATATTAGAGAAAAGCTACTGACACATTATATTACAGGATCTTGGATGAATGAAGGTGCATCACATTTGAATGGTAAGATTTCTGGAAGGAATGTTAGGGCCAGAATGGTGAAATAATGCTATCCTAAAAGAAATAAAGCCATAGAGACTTTCTTAGATAGCTCATCCAGATGGAAGGAATGCATGCTGTATCCTCCATGCCACCTGCTCCTCTTTCCAAGGTGACCTCTGGATGTCTGGTGGAAATAGCTAAGACCATATAATGGCGACTTTGTGGAGGACACAGCAGTCCACTCTGAATTTGAAAAAATGTTCTGGCAAGTGACCTGAGTCAAGGAAATGTCATTTCAAATGGCAATGGGCTGCTCCTTGATGTTTCTGATAGATGCAAGACCTGCATTATACACCTAATGTATGGTTGTTGGCATGAAGGAGTGGCAGGAGCTCACCAACCAGATATAGAATAGGTAACGCTTGAATCTGAGCTGCTGACCTCTAGTTTTTCTTGGAATCCCAAAGACTGTCTTAAGATGTTAACAATGCGGTTCTTTCCAAAGCAGGCATTCATTGACATGGTGGTTTGCACACAGCCACACATCAATGAGATGCTGAAGAAATCATAGTCCTTGCAGCTCCTGTACCTCTTCTAACTGATGTTGAGATTCTGCAGAACCAACTATGATCAGTTGATAGACCCTCCACTATTGAGGATGGTGCTATGCTGGTAAATTATTGAGCCCAAACATCCTTTAAGATGGAGGAATGAGATGTCCTCACTGAAAATTGGCAGTAGTATGGTCATCTGTGGAGGGCCCTTCTTTCTTTAAAAAAAATCATTCATAGGAATTTATTGCCCATCCCTAATTGCCCAGAGGGTAGTTAAGAGTCAACAACATCATTGTGAATCTGAGTCATATGTAGGCCAGACCAGGAAAGGACAGCAATTTCCTTCCCTGAAGGACATTAGTGAACCAGATTTTTTTTTCCTGACAATCAGCAACAGTTTCATGGTCTCCATTAGACACTTAATTCCAGACTTTACCACTATCCAGTATGGCAGGATTCAAACCCAGTTCTCCAGAACATTACCTGGATTAATAGTCCAGTGCTAATTGCACAAGGCTATTTCCACCTTTTCTTACTCTTTCCCCTGAAGCATCTGTTCACCATGTTGCAGAACGAGGATCACTGCAATTACAGCCCTTATGCTGCTTGTTGATTGGTGTGTGCAGGTGACCAAATCCACTGCTCTTCCTGAATGGATGTAACAACTCACTAAAAGACCTCTAAGAGTAAGTCACAGCATTTGCACACAACGTGGCACAGCACAAGTCAAAAGCACTTGGCCTGCAAGATGCATATCTGACCTTTCAAATAATGGTGGTGGATGTTCCCTCATGCAACTGAATGCATGTTCCGCTGAGACAGATTAGCACATGCATAAAATAGGCCTTCACGGTCCAATGTTCCAGAAACAAGTAACAAATCAAACAGAACGTCACAATCCAAACACACCTGATGTTTCCAGTTCACACATGGCACATCCATGCTAACACCTTTCCTAGCATAATGCAGTGTGAGAGCTGCACTGGAAGAGTGTTGCATACCATTTTTCTACTTAGGCACTATGGAGTCCAATTTTGCTGCCCAAGAATAAAACTGGAAAATTCTACAAATCCTAGCAAATCAGACAGCATCTATTGAGAAAGAAAGGGAAGGTTAACATTTTAGATCATTGATTACTGGACAAAACCAAGAGAAATTCCAAATGAACAAGTTACACGGAATTCAGCCAGCAAAAATGGGGTGAAAAGAAAAAAAAAGGCTGTTTTTATAACTAATTACAAGTCCAGAGAAGATCAAATGACAGAAGTGATAAATGCTGAACACACAAAGGCAATAATGAGAGACATTAGAGAACAACACTTCATCTTTCAATTGCGCATTCTCTGCTAAGTTTCAACAATTTCAAGCTGTGCTCTGTGTTGTTCCATTTTGTTTCATTTTCTTTGCATGTTTCTTGTTTTACTTACTTTGCTTTCAGACAGCATGCTTGTTATTCTGTCATTCATATCTCCTTTGTCCCATTTTTTATTTTTGTGCTTGTCCTATTATCATTCCCTTTAGCTCTTGCTCGACCAAATCTGCAGATATTTAAATTCTCCCATTTTCCACCCTATCACAGACTTTTCCTTTTGCTCTTTATTGTTCTTCTTCATTTTATTTGAATGAAATGTATATTTCCAACATTCTCCAGTTCTGATGAAAGATCACACCCTGAAACGGTACGCGAGGTTTTCATGGAGGAGATTGAGCCAGGAAAATTTCTAATTCATTTCCTTTGAAAGGGTCCTGGCCAGCCATGTTTTGTTTGTGAGGAAGTGGGAACAGGATGGAGTTGGCCCCACCACCTTTAGATGTAGTTTGGAGGTGGCCATAAAAGCAGGTGAGCACTGAAGGGCCTGTTCCTGTGCTGTAATTTTCTTTGTTCTTTCAGATACATGAATGGGCAGGGAGCAGAGGGATACAGATCCTTGGAAAATAGGCGACAGGTTTAGATAGAGGATCTGGATCGGCGCAGGCTTGGAGGGCCGAAGGGCCTGTTCCTGTGCTGTAATTTTCTTTGTACTTTGTTCTTTGAAGCAGACTGGTTAGCACGGGCACAATCTTTTAAACTTACCTGTCAATAGGTTCCCAAATCCAGACTATTATACACAACTCTTTTGAGAAGCCATAAAACACAAATCATGGAGAAGTCAGCCAGCACAGCAAAGGCTAGATGGGTATGAGATGCCTAACCTTGCAAAGGATGTGAGTGGAGGGTGCAGGCTGACTACCTGAACCCTTAACGCGCACTGGTGAAAATTGCTGGAAATGAGAATGAGGGCAGGAATCCTGTAATTTCACTTCATAAAACTCTGGGCTATTGACTTGTTTTTATCTCTCAAGATGTTGTCAGACCCAATGCATTTCATTGCTTATTTCACATTTCGATTATCCATAATATCTTGCTTCTAATTAGAGAAATAATTGTTGTGTTTAGACCAAGAGGATGTATTAAGATTATAGCAAAAGGGAAAGTTGGCCGGAAAACCCGGCAATCAGGGTAAGCCCCAATGACCAAGTGAGAATAAGACAGGTTATAACAGGGGTTTAGAGCATCCCCAGACCTATGCACCAATTGGGGATCTTCAGCCAAAGAATCATTTGACAAATCCCATCTTTTGAATTTGACGATGCACCCAACGTATATGATGAAAACTTGTTGGATATGAAAATTGGGAACTTTTTTTTAAGATTCTAAGTTGGTAAAGTCAATGTTGAGGCCAGAGAATTAGGATAGCTTATAGAGAAAAATGAAGTGGGTGATTTTTTTAACTAGAATTTAGGTTAATTGAAAAAGTTATAGAAAGCCAAAGACAGAAAGATGAGATAAACAGGCAGAATTAAGGAAGCCTTATCATATGGGAAAGCAAAGCAGGTGCTGGAAATCTGAAATGAAAACAGAAAATGTGGGAAATACTCAACAGGTCTAGCAGCATTTGTGGAGCGAGAAAGAAAGTTAGTATTCATTTTGATGACTTTTCATCAGAATTTTAAACTTTCTTTTTGTTTTGATGAAAGATCATCAACCTTAGAAAGTCTTTCTTTTTCCATAGACATTTCCCTCTGAGAAATTGTGCATTTTCTATCTTTATTCTAAGGTAGATTCCCACATACTGTTTGCATGATCCAGCAAAGGAACTGATTCTGCAGGAAAGAAACCCAGAAGGGGGCAACTCCTTTTTTGATAGTGGTGTTCCTATGACATTTTGACCATTCCTTCAATATCTATCAATATGAAATCACATTATATCCCTGACACTGGATTGAGCAATTTGCTGTATTTGCTCAGCGTAGCATTTGTAATGTAGCAGTGTAGTTTATGTTAGCTAATTAAATAATTCATTGTATGCCCATTAGTAACTATTTGAAGAAAACTTTAACAATCCAATTTACTGTATCATCACATTTTATCACCTTCCTCCCTTTGCCCATTACCTACCTGAAATGTCTGCATGTATTTGGACAAAAAGAAGATTCTTGCTCAGTCCACCACACATAAACAGAGTGTCAATTTGATGTCCTGCAGTCAGCATTGTTTCTAGTATGTGGCGTGTTCCCATCTGAATACAGGGAAATAGAACATAGATTTAAGTGTAGATGCCATTAAACAGTAGCAAATTTATTTCTTACACTCATCATAACAGATTTTCAGAATAATTGCATGCAATATTTTGTTAAAATGCAAACAAATTACTCAATAAGGAAAAGTTGATTAAAATTATTCAATTGAATATGTGGGATGAAAAATTTGACTGTCCAAAATAGTCAGCATGTCAGTGTGCTAATCTATTCCACATGAGGCCCAATCTATAGTTCACTTGCAAATTTCTTTAAATGGTGTTGGTGAAAAGACACCCCACTATAGTGCATTGGTTACTGATTAAGAAGGATGTGTAGTGGGGATGGACTTAAACTTGCAAAGTGGTGATGGTGGTGGGGGAAGACTCCCCAATGGATATAGTTTTGGAAGTGCCAGCGGGACCAAAAGAGAAAAGATGGGGAATGGAGAAAAGCAAGTGATAGAAGACTTGACTGTTGACAGGGAACAAAAAAATGGTCACCTCCCAATGGGCAAGAAAGAGATAAGGTATGGTTAGGTTGTATGCACAGAGTATAGTGACTAAAAATGGGAAACTGGAAGCAGAATTTGGTCTCGGGCGATATGACAGAGAGCATTGACAGATATGTGGCTCAAGCCAGAACAAAACAAGCCAGAAGAAACATGGAGAGACAATACAGACTCAACTTTATAACTTTGAGGAGTGTACAAGAACAGAGGGAGCTCAGGATTCTGAAGATGGCCAGCAATTTGAAACAACTCTTAGAAGACTTACAGGATCCTTGGGTTTATAAATACAGGCATAAGGTATCTTTTTTTCAGGATTGTATCCAGTGACTAGTGGAGTTCCGCAGGTGTCAGTGTTGGGACCACAACTATTCATGTTATATGTGAATAATCCTGATGAAGGAACTGAGGACATTGTTACTAAGCTTGCAGATGACACAAAGTTGGGGTGGAGGAACAGGTAGTGTTTATGAGGAGGGGAGGCTGCAGAAGGACTTGGATAGGCTAGGAGAGTTGGCAAAAAAACTGGCAGATGGAGTACAATATGGGAAAGTGTGAAGTTATGCACCTTGGTGGGAAGAACAAAATTGTAGACTATTTTCGAAGTGGGAAAAGGGTTTGGAAATCTGAAGCACAAATAGACTTAGGAGTCCTGATTCAGGATTCTCTTGGTTCACTTGGCAATTAGGAAGTCAAATGCAATGTCAGCACTTATTTCAAGCGAACTAAATACAAATGCAGAGACGTACTGCTAAGGTTGTTTCAGGCTTTGGTCAGACCGCATTTGGAACATTGTGGTCAGTTTTGGACCCACATCTTTTGGTGTTGGAGGGGGTGCAGAGGAGATTTACAAGAATGACGCCAGGGATGAAGGGCTTGTCATACAAGGTGAGGTGGAGGATTCTAGGTCTATACTCAATTGAGTTTAGAAGGGTGAGGGGGATTCTGTTAAAACATAGAGAATACTGAGAGGCCTGGATAGCGTGGATACGGAGAAGATGTTTCCACTAGTAGGAGAGACTAGGACCTGAGAGTACAGCCTCAGAGTGAAGACACATTCCTTTAGAACTGAGATGAGGAGGAATTTCTTCAGCCAGACGGTGGCCAATCTGTGGAACTCATTGCTGCAGAAGGCTGTGGAGGCCAAGACTTTGAGTGTATTTAAGAAAGATGTAGATATGTTCTTGATTAGTAAGGAGATCAAGGGTTATGGGGAGAAGGAAGAATGGGTTGAGAATACAGACTCAATGGGCCAAATGGCCTAAGTCTGCTCCTATATCTAAGGGCCTAAAAGTAAGGAAGTTATGTGACCCCTCAACACTGGTCAGACCACATTTCTGTTCAGTTCTGAGCAGTTCATTTAAGGAAGGATGTTAATGCCCTGGAGAGAATACAAGGGTGATTTACTAGAATGATACCAGGAATTAGAGATTTTAGATACAAGGAAAAGTTAGAGAAATTAGGCTTATTCTTCTTGGAGAAGGTTAAGAGATGACCTTGTAGAGATGTTCAAAATTATGAACAATTCTGACAGGTAAAGAAGGACATTCTGTTTCCACCTGTATGTCGGCAACTAAGAGTCACAATTTCATGACTGTCAGCAAAAGAGCTCGGATTGAGAAGAGCAGAACCTTCCTTACTTAGACTGTTATTAGGATTTGGAATGCGGTACCTGGGAGACTGGTGAAGGGGGATTCCACGTGAATTTACAAAACGTTACAAATGACAGCTGGATATGTATTTGAGAGTTATGAATTTAGAGGACTACAGAGTTAGAGCTGGAGAATGGGACTAGCTAGGTAGCTCTTCCAGGCACTGGTACAGACATGATAAGTGGAATGGCCTCCTTCTATATTATAAAATTCTATGAAACAACTGGCAGCTTGTTACATTGATCCAGCTGGCAGTTTGAGTCTGGGAAGGAGATGATCCTCGAAGGGACTGCAAACACACTAGCATCAGACTGGAGTCTTAACCTAACTGAACATATACCTATCCTTAGCCCGCGGGGGGACTAAAGCTATTATTATGACAGAAAATTCAACCGACATGAATTGATGTTGTCCTCTATGGTGTAACTTTCTTCAAATAACGTTTAATTTGTGCTGTCATCATCAAGTGTCTTTATGTTTTTCATATTTACATACATTGGTCTAAATATTGCAGGAGTGAAGACGCTGTTAGATTTTTTCCCTAATGTTTCAGCTCTGCTTTAACTTGTGGAAGCGATTGGCAAAAGGAGCAATGATAATGTGAGGGAAGCAATTCTTAATAAATAATTGGTTGGAATTTGGAATGCATCGTCTCAGAATGTGGTAACCACATAGTCAATCAGGGCCTTCAAAGGTCAACTGGATAATTATCTGAAGAGAAAATAAATTGCAGGGCAACAAGAAAAAGGATTGCGGATTATGATCACTGGCCCCAAACTGCTCCCCAACTGATACCTTATTCACTTTCCCTGCCTTATTTCCCAAGAGAAGGTCAAGTTTTGCTCCTTCTGAAGCAGGTAAATTCACATACTGAACAAGGAAATGTTCTTGTACATATTTAACAAATTCCTCTCCATCCAAGCCCTTAACACTATGGCAATCCCAGTCATTGTTTGGAAAGTTAAAATCCCCTACCATTAACAACCTATTATTCTTACAGATAACTGAGATCTCCTCACAAATTTGCTTTTCAATTTCCTGCTGACGGTTTGGGGTGGGGGGGTCTGTCATATGATCCCAATAAGGTGTTTATCCCTTTCTTATTTCTAAGTTCCAGTCAAATAACTTCACTGAATACACTCCAAGGAATATCCTTCCTAAGTATAGCCGTAATCAAAAACACCACCACTCCCAACCCCCACCCCACTCATCTCTTGCTCCCCATTCTATGCTTCCTGTAGTACCTATACCTTGGAACATTAAGCTGCCAGTCCTGTCCCTTCCCAAGCCATATCCCTGTAATAGCTATGATATCACAGTCCCATGTCCCCAACTGTGCACTAAGTTCATCTGCCTTACCTGTCAGGTCTTTTGCATTGAAATAAATGCAGTTTACTTTATCAGTTCTACATTGTTCTCTACTTTGTTTCTGCCTGCCTTGACAGTTTGACTTGCTCCTTATCCCAATTGCACCAACCTCAGACTGATCTCTTTTCTCACCATCTCTCTGGTCCTAGGCCCAACGCCCAACTCCACTAATTTAAATCGTCCCATGTAGCTCAAGCAAATCCCCCCATTTTAACAGAGAGACTACCATAAACTGTCATTGAAGATTCTAAAAAGAAGGTTATAAACCTAACAAATTTTTGAAGAAGTTATGAGATTAGTAGGTGTTGGTAGCCCAGATGATATTGTGTAACTTCCATACCATTTGCCCTTTCATAGCATGTTCTGGAGCAAAGAATGAGACTGATATTGCAAAAGCTAACCATGAGTGCCTTTTTAACTTCCAAGTAGAGGGGAACTGCATAAAATGAAGATTCTGCTTGACATAGGTTTTGGAACAACAAATATCATAATTAGATATCAGATTAAGAGCAAGTCTATTCTTGGTAGCTGGATCAGCATACAGGATTCAACCTCCAGTAAGATAGCCTCTTCAGTGAATTATATAGTCACATACATAAACACCAAGCTATAAATCACAATATCTTAGTTAGTATTAGCATTTTATCTCTCTCTACATGCAAAGTACACCTGTATGATGGAAAGATTTCGTTCTATAACATTATGCTCTGATATTCCTTATTACAACATTCCAATAGCAGCTCTTTATGAGTAGTTCCAATGAAAAAAACATAATCAAAGACATGTAATGCTTCTTGCCTGACTAGAACTGTTTGATGGAACTTGATGGGTAAATGGATATGCCAGCACTAATTTTAGCTGCGGCAGGAAGATGCAACTTTTATTAAAATTAAGTGGAATAAATGTTTCTTCATCAACCATATGATTTTTCCCTTAGAATGTTGGATATCGGCGAGGTAAAGCAACACTTGAATAACCTCAGTGTTATAAAGCATGAAGTGACACTTAAGAATGGAAAAAAAAAGGGTCAAGTAGCTCTTTTGTTCACAGTGGAAAACTTAAATGTGTACAAAATTATATCAAATAGGAAACTTGTTAATTTAAATTGGGCCATGTCTCCTGTTTCCCACCTCATTGTTCCATATGCATGTCACAACACTCAAACAGTTAGGGCCAGCTCTTCCAATTTAGAGATAGGTAAGAATGTTGCAGATCTTCTTCTTGTCCTCCTCTTGTGCAAATTCATTTATTTTCATAAGCCCAAAAAATTGGAGCAGGAGTAGACCATACAGTCCCTTGAGCCTACCTCATCATTCAGTACAATCGTAGCTGATCATCTTCTTCAACTACACTTTCTTGCCAACTCACCATATCCCTTGATTGCTTAAGAGACCAAAAATCTCACTTTTATCGATATCAGACGGTGATACCAGACAGTATCTTTGTGGAATACAATGTTGATGTCTTCACAGACAGAATTCATCTTAAACTAAAACATCAGGAAGCAAAAGGTCCTTCACCAGCCTGCTCCCACCACGGAACTGTCCCTTGACTATCAACATCCATCGTAAGCAAGTGTAAAATGCAGGTCAATTTTCATAATTTGGTGCATCCTTTCAGTGAGGACAGACATTGACAATGACCGCCAAAATCACCCCAGTGTGCCAGCACAACCTTTGGCCATCTGACAGCATGTGGTAGCAAAGACCTGAAACCTGGCCTCAAGGCCATGGTCTGCAGAATAGTGGTGTTACATGCCCTTCTGTATATATCACAGATATGGACAGTGTGCAGCAAACATCTCAAATGCCTACAGAAATTTAATCAGTAATGCCTCTGCAAAATCCAGCAAATTCAATGGAACTATAGGTGCTCCAATATCAGTGTCTTCTTTCAAGTCACCATTCGAGGCATTGGTTACTGTTAATTAACTGCACTGACTGAGTCACATTTTCTGCATGCCTGACACAAGACTTCCAAAGCAAGCTCTCTATTCTGAGCTCCTTAACAGCTAGCTGATATCAAGAATGCAGAGAAACTGCTTTGAGGACATCCTTAAAGGCTTACAGAAAAAATATAACACCCTTATCAAATCATGGTAATCTTTTCTCCAAGACCATCCAAACTAGAGCAGAAGAATCCCCAAAGATGCCAATCAGCTTGAGCATATCTAACAGGCCCAGGTGGATATCAAGTACAAACTGTGGGAGGAACGCGTGAAAATCTGAGTATCCCACCCACCTGCCTCTTCAACTACCATCTGGATGTGTGCATCCGGTATTATAGTGTTTAGTCATCTCAGGACCAGAACTTGGAGTGTAAGGATGAAAGCTTCAATCTCAAGGACTACAGAAGAAGAAGTGTCATTGAAATGCTATGATTGAATGAAGCTTAATTCTTAGGAGTGATGCTTTGGAGGTAGGAATGGAAGATTTATAGATAAACCCTTGAGAACAGTGAAATGTCTTTCAGCAGGAAGTGGTTCAGTTGAAACATATTCCTAAAAGGGAGAAATGTAGGGAAATCAAAGCTAGAGATCCCTGGATGATGAAAGATATAGCAAGCGAGGAGAAGCAGAAAACATGTGGGTATGGCAGATGTCAAGCTGACAGCAAGAATGAAAACCCAAGCTGACTATAGAAAATCCAGAGGGACAACTGAAAAGAAAAGGCAAAAAGATAGCGTGAGAAGAGATTGACTACATACATAGTGGGAAACAAATAGTCTTCTAAGGGCATCTTAAGTGAAAAGATGGAATAATAATGGAGCATAAAAGTGGATGAATGCATGAAACAGAGGGCATAGCTGAAATACTAAATGGAATTTCTTGTTTTCTATCTGTCCCAAGGAAGATGCTGCCTGAGTCAGAGTAAAGCAAAAAAGAATTCAGATATTAAAATAGACTAATAATTGATAAAGAGGTATAGATAAAGAAGTATTGGAAACACTGCCTGTGATAAAGTTTATATCTCATGAAGACCAGATGGGATGCAATTGAGGATTAAGGATTCGGAGATAAGTAAACAAAGGAATTTTGGAGATAATAACCGTAATGTTCCAAATCTCCTTTGAACTGATTAGAGAATTGCAAATGTAATACACTTGTTCACAAAAGGATGTAAGGATAAGCCTGTCAACTACAGACCACTCAGTTTAACCTCAGAGGCAGTGAAGCTTTACAAAACAATAATCTGGGATATCTCGGAAAAGGTACATAAATTAGGGAAAGTTAATACAAATTTGTTGAAGGCAAATTATGTTTAACTAAACTGATTTAGTTTTTTGACAACTAAACAGCTGAGGTTAATGCAGGGGACATGGTGTATATGAACCTCCAAAAAGCATTCAATAATGTTTCAAAAAACAGGCATAGCAGCAAAAGTAAAGCTAACAGAAGAGATAATAGAAGCATCAATACTAAAATTGGAGAAAGTGAACATAAAGTAGAGATAAGTATTTGCCTGTAAGCAAAAAAAAAAGTTTTCCCAAGTTGGAGATCAGAACCTTAATTCTAAGGGAATTAAACCCCTTTAGGATTGAGGCAAAATATTCTGAGGCAAAATCCTGGGTGGGTTCGCTACATTTTTGGACGATGTTTTGTGACGCAAATCTCTCTTCAGCATAGTGAAAGCAATGTTGCCTGATCTTGAAGGCAATTCATCATTAAATAGCTGCAAACCCATTAGGTAGAAATCTAGAATCCTATATATTACTTTAATTATGATTAATAAACCTAACTTACAGCTATAGCTTGAATTGTAGCCAAGTAAAGCTTAGCAAGGTCATCAAGAGTGTTGGACAGACCCAATCCAGTTACCTACGAAAAAAAGAGGTATTGTATTAGATACCAAAGCCACAATTTGAAACACAATTTTTTTGAAATTTTTCATTTTTAATTGACATGTCAAAATTTTAAAATAGTTTTGATAGGGCCATCTGTATTCTTAGTGTTAATGTATACATAATCAACTTTGACCAGTTATCAGTAGAAACATTTAGTGAAAAGGGTGGTTTCTAAGTAATTAATTTCAATGTAAGATTATTTTTGCTTTATGTCACGTACAAAAAAAAAAGATGAAAACCTCAAAAGTGGCTTCAGGGGCTATGCAATTGCATCACTAGGCTTTATAAGGCTGAGCACAAATCCCAGCCGAATAATTAAGTAAATCTCAATTTCTTTTGTTGATAGTCATTCAGATAAGACAGTAAAAGCACATCTGTCAGGGATTTAATTTTATAATTAGATCTTATCAAGTATGTTATTTCTTCCTTTGAAAAAGAATGCAATAAAAGATTATACAAATGTAGAAATTTTAAAAGTAGGAAGACAGGTTGATAAAACTGTCTAAAAAACACAAATGGAAATCTGTTTTTTTTTAAATGGGGCCAGAAAATCAATCTGTTGCAGGGTTTCTTGCTGGTATTATCTCCAACAAATTTGTGACTTCAGTTGCACCGTCCTTGCAGCTGCCCAGCCAAAGTTAAGTCACGAAACTTTGTTTGGTTTGGTAATCATTATTTGCATGTTCAGTAGCATTGCTGTACAATATTAATGAGGCAGCAGTGGCTGATTCCTGTGCTGTAACTACAGGAAAAACATAGTCAACAATCAAGAATCACTATGTCAAATCGTAAATATCCTGCTGCTGAATCAAAATTGATGTGAATTTAACTAAATATGAATTTCAAATTTCTATATTTAATCTAAGCAGAAATCCTTTGTTTTCTCACTTTTAATTCCCTTTACTTATCTGTTTATTCTCTTCTCTGTAAAATGCTTTTAAACATTTTTTACACAGGTATTATATATTTAGATTCATAAAATTCCTTCAGTGTGGAAACAGGCCATTCGGCCCAACAAGTCCACACTGACTCTCCGAACAGCATCCCACCCAGACTCACCTCCTTACCCTATCATCCTGCATTCCCCATGGATAATCCATCTAACCTACGCATCCCTGAACACTATGGGCAATTTAGCATGCCCAATCCACCTAGCCTGCACATCTTTGGACTGTGGGAAATTATTGTTAGTTGATTTGAATTGATTTATTTATTTGTTGTCTGTCCCTTTACCTTAAATTTCTGCTCCGATGACACTGGCTTGGGTAAATTGTGGGACAGGAATCAAAGAGAGAATAGGTCCAGTTTCCACAATAGTGACTTAAACCAAGTGCAACAGTTTAAAGTTAGCATATTAATGTTGCAGCTAATTTACAACAGGATAGTCTGAATTTATTCACACTATGAATACTCAATGAACACATACTTTTGCTTCTGCCCAAGTCTGCAATTTTTCCTGTTAAACACATGCACTTAATGTTTGTGAATGGCATTGTTTGAATTGCTTAATCCTCGGAGGGAGAATAAAGCACTGGATTTCCCCATTTTCAGCATCCTGGGCATCAGCACTGACCAGAAACTGAATTGAAGAACCATATAATTGCTGTGATGACTAGAGATTTGGGTATTTTGTGGGAGTCATTTGTCTCTTAATTGCCCAACGCACTTCCATCACCTACAAGGGGAGGTGGTGGCACAGTGGTAATGTCACTGGATTAGTAATCCAGAACCTAAAGTTTGAATTCAATAAAAAGAATTAGAATCTAAGAAAAGATAGCTAATGGCAACCATCCTTACCTGGTTTGACCTGTGTGTGATTCTAGATCTACAGCAATGTCACTGATTCTCAAGTGGCCTCCTGGCAACAAATGCTGCCTAGTCAGCAATATCCACATCCCACAAACAAATATTTAAAAAAGGCAGATGTCTTGGAATACTCTCCGCTTACCTAGATGGTTGCATTTGCAACAATACTTAAAAAGCTCAAAGCAGTCTGTTTCATCAGCATCCAACCTATTGGCTTAATCATTGATTCCAATCACCACTAGCATTCTGTAGCTCCAATGTGTACTATGTGCAGATGAATTTCAGCAAGTTGCCTAGGCTTTGTTGGCAATACCTCCCAGACCTACACACCTCCACCACTCAGAAGGATAAGGCTAGCATGTGTAATTGAAAGTTATCCGCTCCATTGGGCATCTCAATACAATGAGCTGGCTGATGTTTAAGTTTGCATTTTGAAATCTTGTCATTTAGCTTAACTCAAATTGAACCAACAGTTAAAAAAATGCTTATATGAGAGCACTGATATGGTTTCACAATTGAGCAACTGCAAGTTTTAAAATAAATCTTGAACACACAATCCTTTCCCTTTCTGTCATCTGATGTACAGTTCTTTTGACACTGTTAGTCTTGGTTCATTTCTGAGCCCTCTGTCATGTGATCACCTGTTGCCCTTTTGTTTTCTTCTGTTTTTATATAACCTTACCCCATTTTCTCCAAATCAGACAACTGCTATTATGTTCTCTATTTCTTCATAGAACTACTTTTGCTTGATATGCTGCCTGAGCTTCCGGCATTACTGTAAAATGATACCTCGACAGGTAAATTTAAACAACTATGTTTAGCTTGCATTGCAGGTGAGTACTCATCTCAGTTGCCAGTGTAACATTCAGTGACATTATCCTTTGCTAATATTGTGTCTTCTGTTTGGGAGACTATGACATAAAATGGAGGAATGGGCAGCCTCCCCTTTCTCAACATATCAAGCACACGACAGAATGTTCATCATGAAAATTGGAGAAAAAAGGGAAATTAATCAGTTGAAAAAATCTAATCATATTCACTTACCTTCAATGCTCTTTGAAAATTTACATTTCTAACAGCATCAAGGAAGCAATGCCCTAATGAAAGAAGCAGGTTGCTCCTTCAGAATTCAAATTACATTTTAAAAATGAGGTCAGACTTTTTGGTCCAGCAGAAAACAAATGTTTTCAATAGCGAAACAGACAGCAACTGTAAGCCAAGTAAATGGGAGAAAGGGGCTCTTAAAGCAAAATATGTCAGCACACACTGACAAAGAAAAATTATTTCAACAAAAATCAATCACATTGGCAGTTTGAAATGAATGATACACATTTTTTTTTCATTTTGTCATTGTTCCAAACAAAAGCTATAAAAGGTTTCTCTGTAAAATTGAAATGTACCTACCATGCCCTTTAGGGTAGGATCTGCTAAGGGAGATCTGTTGCCATGGAAATCAGGCCAAACATGTAAATCAACAGTTAGCATGCCCACAGCATAACTCTTTTTAATAGACTCCAGGTGACTGTTTAAGTACATGTAGACATTTTTCCCACTGAAAGAAAACATTCTGAAATCAACCATTTTGTAACTAAAACATTCGTCAATTATAAGCCAAGAATAAAATTTAGGTGTTGTCATTTTGGGAAAAAAATAATGAAATATTTGAAGACTGAGCTAGTGTTTTAAACTGAACTTTTTTTTCTCTTTTTTTTCTTTTTCTTTATTTTTTCTCTTCAAAGCAATTGGGGCACAGGCAAGGGAAACATAAGCAAATATGCGCAAGGGTAAATTTTACTTTGTGAAACGTGTAGCCTTACATTTATTTTATTTCACCGTTCAAATATATTCCAAGACACAATACATGACACTGGCTCAAAAGAAAGGTTGCCTGCAGAAATTATAAAGTCATTGTCCAAATGATAATTCCTGTCAGTGGATTCTTTTTTGTTCAACATTGTCAGACTTAACAAAAACAGAGTTAAGAAAAAATCAGAGTTGACGTTTCGGGTCCGGGTCATTGGACCCGAAATGTTAACTCTGATTTTTTCTTCACAGATGCTGCCAGACATGCTGAGCTTTTCCAGCAACTTCTGTTTTTGTTCCTGAATTACAGTATCCACAGTTCTTTCGGTTTTTATTGTCAGAGTTAATTTCTTTTACAAATATCCCATTTTCAAACAAAACTCCCCATTCTCCAATGTTTACAGCATGTACTGGTTTGATTGGATATGGATTTTATACACCCAAGGAATAACAGGACATAAATCTTAATTCAATTTATTTCATATTTTGTAACAACAATTTATATGGTTGATCGGAGACAGATTATTGATCTCTGTGCTGGCAAGGGAAATGGGTTTGCTGTACATGAATCATATAAAGTTAACAAGGAGGTGCAGCAAGTGATTAGGAAGGCAAATGGAATATTCTTAATTATTGCAAGGGTAACGTAATATAAAACTACAGAAATTTGGTTAAGTTTGTACATTGGTGAAGCCACATCTGGAATGTTGTGTACAGTTTTGGTCTTCTTATTTAAGAAAGGCCGTAAATGCATTCACACCAGGTCAGAGAAGATTCACTTGACTAATACTGGGACTGGAGGGATATTTTTTGAGGAAAAGTTGGACAGCGTACATCTATTGGAAATTAGAAGAATGAGAGATGATATTATTGAAAGATATAATGTCCTGAGGGGACTTGACAGAGTGAATACTGAAAGGATGTTTCCTTTCATGGGAGAGATTAGAACAAGGGAACATAGTTTAAAAATAAGTGGTCTCCCATTTAAGATAAGGATGGTCTTTATTTTTCTGAGTATTGAGAGCCTTTGGACCTCCTACTTAGGCAGTGGAGGTAGCAGGTCATTGATCTTTTAAGGCAGAGGTAGATGGATTCTTGATCAACATGAAAGTCAAAGGTCATCAAAGGTAGTCAGGACTGTGGATTGGAGGACAATATAAGATGAGCCATTATCTTATTGAACAGTGGAATAGGCTTCACATGCTGAAAGACTGACTCCTGCTCCTAATTTGTACATTTGAAAATTGGGGCAGAAGAGGACAACAATGTAGTTTTGATGGGCAAGTTGAAAGTCAACCAGCATGTGAACTTGCACCTTGAAAATGTTTATCTCAAGCAATATTATTCATATATGTGGAGAATCTTTCAAATCCACACACTAAAAATCTAGGCAACAAAATGAATGTAAGACAAAAACCAAATCTGTTTGCATACGAGAAAATGATTATCTGCATTTTCAAAGCTTGGAAAGAAATTTAACATTCAGAAGGTTTAATTCACTCAACTAGTGCTACGTCAGAAACCCCACAGATCCAGATTAGAACTAAACTTAATTTATGTTTCAAGTTGTACCAATATTAACATTACTGTTGAAGCCCTGTTGTTTTTGCCAAATACTGACCTAGGTAGCTTATCACCCTTGGGCACACGAAAGTTTATACTAGTTTCTTTGTCGATCTTGTTAATAGATACTCATTTAAGTGCCGATATTTCTTGACAATTGCATGAAGATATGTCAGGAGCTTTAAATGTGAAATAAACAATAGTGATCAGAGGAAGTGTGGAATTTCATGATACGCCCTTCATGCAGGTGTCACTTTGTATGTGAAAATTAAAAGTTGGAGGCAACAAATTGTCATTTACATACATTAAGTACAGCATATCAATGAAAATCAAACCACATTTGGAAATACATTTGTCTATTAATTCTTACTTGTAAGCCTAACTGGTAAGAAAAGTTCAATGGCACTACTTGTGTTTTGGGCAACAAACAAATGCTATTTCGACAGCTTATCCACAATCACATTAAATTTTCAACCTAGAACACTGACTTGAATTTAGGAGCTGCATCTTTTACAAGCATATACCCTTACAGCAAGGACATACACTGAACAATAGAGATATATATGATGAATTATGACGAATAGAATCATCCATTCATGAAATTCATTACCAGCCATTTTACTTCATTTTCACTTTCATTAAAGCCATATTTTACTAAAACTGCTCCACCCACTAATTGTGAGGAGAAATACAGCTGTGTAAGATTAACACATAGTCCTGTCAATATGCTAGGTATTTTAAAACTATTGTAAAATATATCAGGCAGAGGAAATCTTCATGAACAAACCAGTTATATAAGAACCAAAATGATAATTAAAAAATGCCAGATCTGTGCAGAACAAAACAAAAGTTAACATTTCAAGTTGGTGACATTTTAACAGAAATTGAAAATGTTGCAGATGTAACATGCAGTTAGGAACAAGGAAAGAGAGGACAAAACAAGGAAAGATTAGATGTGTGATTGGATGGAAGATGGGAGTAATCAAATAACAATAGGGATGATAACGCAAGACCCTCAAGATTGTAGAAATAGGACAAGTAAGGAAACAAAAAGAAGAGAATAGAGGAGTTGCACATTGCAACAGCAGAACCATTGCCACTACATCCTGTCTGAAAAAATGGGTACAGTGGCTGTGATCTGCAATTCCTGAACTCAACGCTGAGTCTGGAAAGCCATGATGTGTCAAATCAAAGATGAGATCTTGTTCCTCAAGCATCGGTTAATCTTCAACAGAATAGCATGGGAAACCAAGGGCAATGATGTTAGAGTGGATGTGAGGTCGAGAATTAAAATGACAGAGAACCATAAATTCAGAGTCATGCCTGTAAACTGTACTAAGATGTTCCACAAAGCAATTGACCAGTCCGACTTAGGTCTTTCCAATGTAGAGAGGACTACAGTGTAAGCAGTGAATGCAACGTGCCAAATTGAAAAAGTACAGGTAAATCAATGTTCCAAGACTATATGGGGCCTTAGGTTTCAATATGGTGGCAGATGTCATAGCGGGAATAATATCCACGATAGCCATGGTGAGTTTTCTCATGCGATTCTCTGCTCTTCAGCTTATTTAGTACACAAGTGAATTTTTTGGTGGTGAATGGCAAAACATGTGTGGATGGCAGGCAAAACTTCTTGCCCCACTTGCACCTTCCAAGTTCTGACGATTTTGATGCCATGCTTAAAGGCCACCTGGGCAATCCTTCACTTGCTGCAAGCCAGGAAATCCAGAACAGACACCATAATCCCTGGCCCCTGCAGATGTTTGCCAAGCCTCCTGAAAAGGCTCCATGATTTAATCATACTTTACTGAGCACTCTACTTCAAGTCATTTGGGCACTCTAAAGACTCCCATCAGACTTGGGCAGTCTGAGCTCACATCACACAGGAGGTCAGTGACGCTAGTAGGCACCAATTCAGAAGAACAATTTTTTGCACTCTACAAGGGTCAGTGCCACCATCTTCTCATTGTAACCTTGTACTCTGATTCACAACTCAGTTTAAAGTATGCCACTGCACAGCAACTTCATAGAGGCATGCCCATCTCAAGTAAGCATGTTTAACTCAAGTGAGATTGTTTGCTTCTTATAAGCATGCCCATCTCACGCATGATGTGCACGGAAGGGCTCACATCAACCTTCTGCTGACAATCTTTGAATGCCTCACACTGGAAATACCCTGGAAATGGAAATAATTTCTATTTGCTAACTGGGAAGGGCTCACTTCCTGGCAGGGTTATCCATGTTCATCAAGTGCTTTTACTCACATTCTTATGACACTAAACCCTTCTCTTTCTCTCATGTAAACAAACTGGAGAACAACAGGAAGGAGAAAGCACATTCTGTTGGAGGCCTTCCTGAACTTCACATCCTCAGTGAATTTGTGGACAATGTAGTCCAACTGGCAGGTGAAGACCTTAACTAGTCCTGCATTGAGGAGTAGCTCTGGTTGCCAACTAACCATCCTTGTATGTACTGGAGTTGGTTGGAGGGGAGAGGGGAATGAAAGAAGCAGGCACCATTGAGTGTCACAAAATGTAAGCATCTGTCAGCTGCTTGGATAATGTGCATAGACTGGCATTATCTGGCTGCTATGATCATGAAGTGGAAACCTTTCCTATTCATAAAGACTAATCGGGAACTTTGATGGCTCCGAGAATACATCTATTGCACCCTGTACCTGCAAAAACCCTGCACTGGTAGCAAATCTGACTGCCTTGGTTGACTGACTCTCTGTATCCAATGGGAAATCAACAAATTGGTGAGCTTTAGCAAACAAAGCATCAGTGACCTTCAAATATGTTTATGAGTGAATGTCTTTGAGATTCTGCAGTGACATCAGTGACTGCCTGAAATTGAGGGTCACTGTCAACTTCAAGGCAAATGGACCAGGATTGCCTCCTTGTCCATGAGGACAATGGTGTTTGTCCAACAGCTGGCAAATGTAAGAGATAACTTCCTGGAGCATGCTGATGCATCATCAATACTGTCAGTTTGCAACATGCAGATACCTACATCGAAACCTGCCGACTTGACTTCAGGCCAATGCTGGCAGCCTATGTGGGCCCTCTTGCTTGGTTTGTTGTGTTTCTGTAGGCAGCTCTGCAGCAGGTGCGAGCTCTTGCTCTTCCTGTTACCACTGGAGCAGCCAATGCCTGTGGTTTCTTCTGAGAAGCAAGATAACCAGAAGAATGACAGTGTGGAACTATGTTACCTTGCGTTTGCTAACAGGAGACCTGTGGAGACAATAATGTAATGAAATAGTGTTGTTTCTCAGATCTTCATGCTGCCAGCCTGCCCTGTCATGCTGAGGAGAGTCCATCACTTCGCAATATTTCTTCCCTGACATCCTCTCCAACTATCCATGAAAAGCTGCATGCTGTAATGCTTTAAAGGACAGCTCCTTATGAGCAGCATGACATGTGCGCGGTAGCAAGAGCGCATTGTCTGGTCTAATGAAAGCATGGCCAGTGCACCTTCACATACACAGTAGTCAGGTTGCCTTCAGGGAACTTAAAGTAGAACCTTTCTTGTATGAACTTGGCATGACGGCACTACCAGCAAAACGTCCCACCATTTAAACCCTAACTCATACCGCCCTTCCACTTTTGAGGCAGTGACATCCTCCTGGGATTCCGGAATGAGCAATGCTTGTGATGGTTGCGCTGTGCCAAATGGGCAGATTTTAGATTTCATTCGCCTCCCTTTTACTGTATTGCTTACTGCATATCTGGGAGACCATGAGGTAGCTATCAGGAGAAAATGTACTTTGGATCCATTACTTCATTACTTTTTTCTTCTTTATTCTTTCATGGGGTGTCCATCCCTGGCAAGGCTGCCATTTGTTGTCTATCCCTAATTGCCTTTGAACTGAGTGGCTTGCTAGGCCATATCAGAAGCCAGTTAAAAGTCAAGCACGTTACTGAGATTCTGGAGTCACATGTAGCCAGACCAGGTAAGGGTGACAGATATCCTTACCTGAAGGACAGTAGTGAAGCAGACAGGATTTTACAACAATTGAGTACAATTCCATAGTCACAATCCAGAATTATGAATGAAATTGAATGAATTGATTGAACTAAACTGAATTCAAATTCTACCATCTGCTATGTTGTTGGTATGTTGCATTGTAAAAATTGGATACAGTTGCATCTGAATGTCCAACCACTGCACTCCAGATAAATTGGGGTCCCCTCAGTTGGACAAACATGGAAGGAGCAATTCCACGCACCTATATAAAAACTCTCCCATCTTGTCTGCAGCCATTTCTACTTCAACAGAGTGTTGTGCAGTAAGTTTGTCACATTTTCAGGAAGGTGAGATTCAATTTATTCTTTGGGACATCCAAATAGCAACTCCCTTCCTAACCGGTGACCCATCATCATCTCCCTCCATCCTGTTTCAATCTTGTTGCTTTGTTATCACTCATCCCTGTTACTCTTCATTCTCCCTTCCTCGGTGCATTGGCAATCATTTTCACCATTGCAATCCCCGATCAATCCCAAAAACCATGAGACATCAAGGGCTCATACTCCTGCCGAACCTTACATCTCCCTGATTGCTGTTGATGTTCCTTGAGACCAATAGGAGGCCATAGGCTCCCGGTCATGATCTTTCAAATCCCCAACTATAACTTGCAGCTGTCCCTCATCCCTGTGACTATTCCTCCTCCTGCTTCAAGTGCAGTGGTGCAGAGAGTCCAGGCACACGTGAAGAATTTGACTGCTAATGCCCTTCTCACAACCAGCCAAGCGACGTCTTGGTGCTTGTTGGAAAGTTCTGGTGATGAGATACTCTTCCAGATGACTTTGACTGCTCACAGAACAACCCAACAGGAGCCACCCTCTCTTTTTCCTGCAAGGTCTCAAGGATGCTATGTGCTGACCACTGGCTGATGGACTTGTGATCGAAGGTGTTTTTCTTCGTAAGAAGGACAGGTGAAATGGAATGGTCCAACTACTTGGGAGTTTTCTGTGGCAATGAGACCAGACCGATTCTTCGCAACACTGAGGACAGGTAAATTCTCAGTACATAGTGACACTTGGATTTTGCATACTGAGTGTACACACAGCTTGATGCAGTGACACACAAAGGTGACTGTCGATATAATATGGAGTTGGAGGAGCACAGCAGGTCAGATAGCATCTGAGGAGCAGGAAGGTCGACGTCTCAGGTCCGGACCCTTCATCAGGACTGGGGAATGGGAAGAGAGCTCAGAAGTAAATAGAGGGATTGGGGTGGGACTGGGTTAAGGTAGGTGGGATGGTGATAGGTGGTTGCAGGAAGGGGGTTGTAGAGATTGCTCAGTGGGAAGGCTGGAGTGGATAGGTGAGAAAGAAAATGGACAGGTTGTGTATGTCAAGGAGGTGGGGAACATCGACTTTCCTGCTCCTCAGATGCTGTCTGACCTGCCATGCTCCTCCACCTCCACATTTTATCAACTCTGACTTCCAGCATCTGCAGTCCCAACTATCTCCTAGTCATACAAAGGTGACTATCAGGATGACTGCAGTATTGGGTACATTCTTCTCCCCTTTATCCAGAGCTTTGTACAGAGCTTATCTCTCCCAAACCACTCCATCTTAGACCTCCAGATGAAGTGGAAGATAACTCAGGCGACTGCAAGGCACAGGTTCTGGGAATGGGCGAGACTTGCACCACTTACAACAACAGAAAGAGTACCTCACACCTGATGACCAGGTTTTTACCCTAAATGGAGAGGGAGTAGTGCTCTCAAATACCCAGTTTCTGCCTCATCTTGGCGATACACTCCTCCCAAGTTTTTGCGCTTGCTCTGTCCCCTCCGAACCATATTTCCAGCACCTTCAGGTAATCTGTCCTGATAGAAAAGGGGATAAAGGATCGGTCAGCCCAGTTCCCAAAGAACATGGCTTTGCTCTTGTCTTGATTTACCTTGGCTCTCGAGGCCATTTTGAACTGGTCGCAGTTGCTCATGAGTCTGCATGCTGGCAGAGAATCCGAGCAGGAAATGGTGACATTATCCATGTACAGGGAGGCTTTGACCTTTGGCCTTCTCTTTGCCATGTATCAGTTGAGCTCAGAGATGGTCCAGGGAGGTACCAAGTCTAAGCACATGCTGGTAAGACTGTACTTGGAAAAGTGACAGTGTGAGTGATGGTAAACATCATTTAATGATGGATGAAGAAGTGCTAGTCAGGTACACACCTGCCTTTTACTTTTAGGTTTCATCAGATTGTTTGATTAGGTAGGAGTTGGAATAGAAATAGAATATAAACTTACTGCCACATGTCCTTTTACACAAAATATACAGTGAAAAGTTTTATAAGTCGACCCACCACAGCACCTAGATCAATGACAGAAGTCATACATCATAATATTTAAAAAAGTAAAATTAAGATAAAGTTCGTCACAGTTCAGTTAACAGCTCCTGGGCTTGGGGAAAAATTAATTGGAAAGGTGAATTTAACTCCAGAGAGTAGTAATTATAATACAATGCAAATGCTTCAATCTCATCACCTGCTGGCAAAATAATCAACCTGCCATCTGAAGGAGAAGAAATGAATTGCTGAAGTTTTTCTCAACAGCGAGAATCTGATACATTGCTCTCACTTGATTAATCTCACCCTCCCACCATTCTTTTTGTCGTGATGGGGAGTGGAAAATCCCAGCAAACATTATATTTCTGAGAGGGAAGGGGAAGTATCAGGGCTGAAGTGTGAGAAACAAGACATTCAATGTTTAGGGTCATGTTATTGATTGTCAACCGCTGTGGAGAGGAACCCTGCTTTCAGGAAGAAAAGCAAAATGTCAGAAGTAATCTGAAAAGTGACTTCATAAGAATAGATGCATCAGAGACGGAGAAACAGGCAGAATGGTATACAGTTTCTTACAGAAAGGAGGACAGAATTGTAGTCAAGGTAATAGTGAGAGTGAGTGGCTTACAGTACATGTTATGGTAAACCTACCTTCATAATGAGACAGAGAAGTCAGGACAGAGTTGGACATGGACACATAGAAGGTTAGAGAATGATAGAAATGTGAAGCACAATCGAAAAAAATTTACTTTTGGGCTGAAAACTAAGTGACACCAGTAAAATCATCAATGCACCAAAAAGGAATTGAGGGAAAGGAACTGAGAGGGACTGGATCAAAAACACTCTATGCATCTCCCAAAAGGCCCAGCCAGGACCCATAAAAAGGTGTTGCTACGGAAACATTTATTTTGAGGAACTTAGAAGACTCCAAGAAGATGTTTTATGTAAAAATGAATTCAGCAGGCAGGAGAGGGTAGCGGTGGAGGCCTTCCTGAAGGGGAATATAAGTGTAGAATAATTGAACGTCCGTGGTGAGAAGTAAACATTTCGGGCCAGGAGACTGGAAATTGTTAAAGTGGCGGAGGGTATTGGAAGAATTGCAGATGTAGGTCAGAACATGTTTATGTGCTAAATTTGCAATAGCATGATCTCAGCCTATTCATTATTAATTTGGATACTAAGGTTCCATTGTAGGAAAGTGCTCTCCCGACAAAAAGCCTTACCCAGTGGTTGTTCATATTGGAAAATATTAAAATTAATTTCCTGATTTATAACATGTTCAAAACGCTTACCCTTTAATGTGCATCTCTATCATTTTAAAATGTTTACATTTAAGGCTGGAAATTATGTTGCAAATATCAGTGAACAGACACTTAAAATGTTCAGATAATATTTTCCTAGACAGAGAGGAATGTCATATGAACACATTAAGTATTTGTACACTAATATTGCCAACAGTAATTTCTGGGCTTTGTGTGATGTGCTCTTGATTAATTTATTTCTTTGAATGGGCCCGAATTAGGTTTTATAATACATGATAACCATCGTTGTGGATAGCTCTTTCATACAGTACAGCTTTGAAAGCAGACAGGTAGTGTCTCAACTTCAGAATCATACCTTGATATGCTGATGAAAATATTTAATTACTAAGAAAAAAATTTGCTTCAGAGAAACATGCCTGTGTACAGTAAGCACCATAAAAAAAACTACTTCAAAGAACAGTTATACTTGCAATCTTTACGAATGAAACTGACACTGATTAAGTCACCTCCAAGCTAATAGAAACAGACATACCTAGCTTTGGCTTTGGACTCCAGCTCTGCACATGCAGCATGGCCTTTAATCACATGATCTATCTAAAACAAAGAAACACATTATATCAGGCTTAGTCTTCAGCATGAGAGGTTTGTAAAGTTAAAATATGTGTACACACTTCTAAAATGTCAATCTTACATTCATTTTTGTTTCAGTGTAAAATTGTTGGATGGTACCAGAAATACAGACTTGGCAATGGATGGAGAATTCTGTGTTATTAATAACAATATCTAAAATTTGCTTATAAGAAATGGGTTCAAATTTAAATATATGTCGAACAAATCCAAATCTTTCTGGAAGATAAATGGATAAAATTTAGAAACTTCCAACAATTTCTATAAAATAAATAAATAACTGAATAGGGTATGGAACTGAAAATGACATTTTCTTTTCAAATCAGGGTAATAATGAAGTGTGCAAGATGCAAAATGAACATATTGGATTTGAATTCTGTAGAATTTATTAAAATAGCCAATCTATGTGTTCACTTGTTTGAGTTGAGACAATAATGATTTACATTGCTTCAGAAATGATAAATAATTTTAGGCTGAATTTTACATTCTTTTTGGCTCAGCCTGAGTGGCATGATATTATTTGGAAGAATTTCCATCACAGTGCCAAGCTGATTTTCTTGCCATATCTTACCAAACTCACCACGTTAACTACCTGTCTCACCGTTAGTGTCCAATTCCAGCCTTATGTTACCATGAGGCATTCCCAGAACAACTTGTCACACAGCAGATATCTGCCAGAAATCTGACATCCCTTCCAGCTGCGATATCTGTAAAAGGCCATTGTGCATCTGGACAGGTACTGGTATTCGAAGCTGCCCTGTTCATTCATGGACAGAACTTGAAGAAACTGGAGACGGGGAAGATGGAACGGCGATTTTCTGACAGAGACCTGAAGGCCCTGGTCGAGGTGGTGATGAAGACCACCACAGGGGGCCACAACATCATACCCTGGCAGACTGATCTGAGTCACCACCCAGGGTGGGTGTGGTCCAAAGGAACTGAACGACCTTCTTCACCGTGCCAGGATAAATCTGCACTTTGTCTCTATTTTCTCACACTCATTCTATTCCGGCTACTGTACTCACCTCCCACCAAGTCTCACGCTCTGCCACGTATAACATGTTCCCTCACCCACAGTCAATCACCCCTCTGCCCTCTCCCTCCTTTGCTTACTTGCATCAGGATTAACATCCATGCCACCCACTTTCATCTCACTCAATCCCTTTCTTTCTCTTATTTTAGGGAAAGGACACTCATAACATGCAGAGAGAGCCCATATGTGTGTAGGGTGCTGGACATTAGGTTCCTCACTCCTGTACAGGGAGAGAATTCTGCCCCTCACAGGAGAAGCCCGAGACTGCTCCTGCAGTGATCTCGAAACATCAATGTTCCATCAACCAAGTAGGTACCATTATTCATTCAACAGCAACATTCTCATTAAACCTGCTATGAGTTTCATTCCTTGTGCACTATATTCCAAGAATTGGCTGTGCACCTTCTCTCTTTTCTGTGTTGCAGGTACTGCCACCTCCTCAGTGTAATGCACAGCTCCCTCAGAAGCTATTCACTCAACTTCTAAGGATGACAGTACTAAGGCCTCAGAGGAAACATCAGTAAGGCTGTCCTTAGCATCCCTCACCAGCTCAGAAAGTGACCCATTTTGGGGAATGTCGGATAAGAGTGCAGCCATGCATATGAATGTCTGGCTGCATCCATGGATAGGTTGGTGGCTGCTGTGGAGAGCCAGGTCCAGCATACTTAGGGACACACCTGTGCTCTATCGACTCAGCCACTGGTCTTCAAGACTGAGGCATGGCAAAAGGATGATAGAGAACCTGGCATGCACTCAGGTGTCCTTTCCTCATGGAACAACAGCGCAATGGCCAGGATGCACCCAGCTGGAGAGGAACAACATGCAGCCCCAGCAGAAATCTCCAATCAGGACACTCCTGAAGTGCTTGGGCCTTCCTCCTTCACTCAGCTGTCCTCCTCAGACCCTTGGAAATTCACAAGGTCAATTTGCTTCTATCAAAATGATCCTTACATTGTTACAGTATGAGGCATCACTTCATTGCCACAGATGATCCTCTGGAAATGAATACCAGTGCTGAGGACCTGCTGCATTATCTGGAAGCAAGCATACGAGGCATGTACAGGGCAATGAGGGCTGCTGACACCTTTGGCCTTTCTCCTACAACAATCCAATTAATTTGTGGCCTCTGTGTCCAGAAATGTTGGTGTTAATGATTTGGTCAGTGATGCCTTGGACAGCGAGGTACATAGCAAACAAGGAGGAATTGCATTAGGATGGCCAGGGTCAGGAACCCCACACCTCTGTGTCCTGTATAGTCCATGGGTTTGTGTGTAATATTCTTTCTCTTTAAAAGTTCTAACATCTGTGGATCCTACAGATCTGTCCTTCACAGGTCAAGTTACATACCTTGCCCATTCCAAGTATTGTCACAGCCATTTTCCTTCCGATTGTGGACTTGTGGTTTCCAACATATGGAAGACAACAGAAGGTGCTCCCTAGCCATTGGCCTGTAGCCTCCACTTCAACGTGTCAGTGAGCCACCAAATAACTAAATTTCATTCCTGGTAACTCTTCCTGTAAACCTCTATGGTTCACACTTGCCCAGGTACCCACCCAATCCATCTAAATAAGGATGTACCTGCCCAACCTTTCCACCCAGCCTTGGCATAAGAGCTGACTATGACAAATATAGTCGTTTACTACTGCCTCCCTTGAAGCCAGTTGCTTCTGAGCATAGATGAACCTTCATCCAATCCATGCTTTTCCATACACCAGCCCCCTTGCGGATACTGCTGCTCCCCTCACAACTGTCAATCCCTTACCCCAAGCCAGTCCCTAGTCCTGAAGAATAATTTGCTAAGACTCCTACCCATGGTAGTGGCCAACCTTATGCCCTTCCCAAAACCATTTTCCTCTTAGTTTCATTGGCAATCCAGAGATGCCCTTCACTGTTAACATATTGACAAAGCAGTAACAAGACAATGCCTCTCACGGCACATAGCTGGCACAACTGACACTTCCTTGCACTTTCCTATGCCAATTGCTGTTTTAGCACTAGCCCACACAGCTTACTGTCCTTAGCCAAATCCCAATTTACAACTCTCAAAGTAAATGCTACTCTTTCCCCAATGCCCATTGTCTCCCAGCATCTCCTCATTGTTCAATGTGGGACCGTCACATAACGGGAAGCCTTAAAATAGTTCAAAATATTCACCTTAATTCACTAACATTAAAAGTGAACAAAAATCAAATAAACAGAAGCTGCTTTTGTATCTCAAAACAGAAACAAACTGCTTCCTTGTCGAGCTCCAATAATTTTACAGTCAATAACTGATCACTGCACCCAACTCTCAGCCACTGGAAACAAGTGTCAATTAAATCTGATGAAAAGTCATACCGGACTCAAAATGTTTACTCTGTTTCTCTCTCCACAGATGCTGCTAGAATTGCTGGGTTTCTCCAGCATTCTCTGTGTTTGTGTCAATTAAATCCTGACACTCTAATGGTCTATTATGCAGAAGGTGATATTTCTCTTGCTCAATGCCTGTGGAATGCTTTACCCCATAAAGAGGTTGAGGCCAAAATTTGAATATTTTCAAGAAGGAGTTAGATATAGTTCTTATGACTAAATGAATGAAAGGGTATGGGGAGAAAGTGAGAACAGGGTACTTAGATAATCGGCCATGACCATCTAGAATGGCGGAGAACCAAGCAACAAGCTGGAGACGCTCAGTACCTGCTCAGGCTTTCACATCGATAATTTTTGGCAACAAGTTTTTATCTGGCAGATGGATGAGTCAGAGACTGCTTACTATTGAGGCAAGATTAAGTCATAATGGGTGAAATAATGAGGAATGATCCATGTTAATAGGGTTCTCGCCTTCCAGTAGCAAGAATCTTCTCTAGATGGGCAGGACTTGCTTGGAAAATGCGACTTTTAGTCTTGACATCGAAAAGCGCCTTGCTGGATGTCTCCAAATTTTCAGAAATTTCTCACCATATCCATGTCATATAGGACCTGTGGCGATTCAGTCCATGGTCTTTCTTGCTGATTTAGATGGAAGAAGGGCAGGGAGTTCTTTTAATTTCCTGACAGTATTGCTTCATGGATTAACATAAAATGTGAATATGACACCAGGATATTACTCCCATCCCTAAGTCAGAAGGTTGTGAGCTCAAGACCAATGCAGAATGCTGGACTGTCAAAAATACCTTCTTTGGATAGAAAATTAAACTACAGTGCTGCCTATCAATTGAGATGGATTTTAAAGATCACTTGATATTACTTGGAAGTTAGGGAGTTATCTTGATCAACATTTCTTCTTTAACCAATGCTTTATAAGCAGTTTGGGTATTTATCTCACTTGATGTTTATGTAGCCTTATTCAGACAAAATGGTTGCCACATTTGTCTTTTTTTAGTGTGGTAATACAACCCAAGAAAGCATTATCAAATTAAATTTGACAGTAAACCACATATAGTTTTTATAAGCATCTTAAAGGAAAAGAATGGTACAGAGGCAATTGGGAAAAGTGCAAGAGAACAAGTCCAGGCAACCAAAAACATGGCCATCACTGGTTGAGTAGCTAACGTAGCAATATTTCAAACTAATTAAAATGCAAACTTTTCTTTAACCATTTTTAAATGGTTAAATGTCATACAATATGTATAAACTCTGTAGTTCAGCTAAATATTTCAAACAATTACTTCAAAATACGAATTTATTTGTTTCAAACATCTCCTAGATGTGTATAAGAGGTAAGATATGCATTGCAATTAAAATATCATTGAAGAGGCAAAGGTGAAAGCTGTGATTTGGATAGTGTTGTTCTCATTTTGTTTGGATCATTTATCAAATTAAATGCATGCAGGTAGACAAGAGCAATACCAAAAACGATGCCAGCGTTTTCCCATGTTATGCAAGGAAGTTCCAAAAGATTAAAAGGTTCAATTTTCCATGTTGCCCCATAAATCTGAGAATTTTGCTGAATGCTCTAGTTTATGTTTCTGCTATACTCTGCCTTGATTTCTTCCACTCTTGCCACCAAAGGAAAAAGTAATGAAAAACACAAGCAATAGACAACATGCTGTTCTCAAGTTGAGTATGCACAGTCATTCCAACCTGATGTCCTGTGTTCTTGATTCTCCCCTGCAATGTAACTTCTAGTGAAGTCAGTTTCACAAAATAAATACAACATACTGCACCCTCGGTGGTTTCCCAAAATAAAGAATTTGACATTTTCTCACCAGACCTACTGATCACAATAATTTAGTGCTTTCTCACCAATTTCCCTGTAGCACTCTGTCCACCTTCATTTAGCCAAAAGTTAGGTACCATAGCTGAGTAATATGGTCCCCAAACACCTGGTACAAATATCGGGTCTTTACTGATCTAGAGACAAAAAGTAAACAATTAAAAATAAGTTACATTATCAAAAGGGTATCAATTAGTAGGATCACATTATGAAAACCTCAAAGTAACAACAACTGTTTAATATTTAAGCTATTATTTGAGGTATGAAATGAAAATAATCTAATTTAACACATTGCTGATACCATATTAGTTCTCATTTAAATTGTAGGATTTAATTGAGAAAAGTTACTTCCAAAAGGAATAACTTGGTTAATAATGTGATTATTTTGTGCCAAATGTTTGAATAGAATTTTGTTTTGTTTCCTTACAGTCTCACTAAACATTACACAAACAATATGAAGTACGCTTAAACTCAAATCCAATGTTAAATCCAGTGTTATTCAAATATCATCCTGACAAGCTTATCAACATTAAATATCAGCTTTTATGGTTACATAATCTGAAGATTGCTCTTTTGAAAGAAAAAATAAACTTTCCAATGTTTTTTCCAATCAAAATACTCTGCAACGTAAGAGACCATGTATGCTTTTGCAATTTAACTTTATACCAACTTTGTCAAACAAGACAAAGTATTTCTCAGTTTTGGCCTCAGTGAATTTAGCTAGTAGATGAATAGTCCCAGCCAAGTCAAAACCTGAAGTTGGACTCCAGTTAATGTCTTAACTATCAGTTCTTCCTTTGTGATGAGAGTTTTTTTTTAATGCTATGCAATGAAAAAGATTTGGGTTCTTACTGAGGCAGCTGTCTGGAAGTTTATTAACAACTAATTGTACAATAACATAACATCTCAGACTTCCATACAGATATTTTTAATCAACCTGTTCAAACATGTTATGGCACACCTCTCGAGAAGGTGGGACCTGAACCTGGGTCTTCTGAGGTAGAGACACTACCATAGTGCCAGAAGAATCCTCTGTCTGGGGTTTATAGTTGCTTATATGATTATTACGTTATATACATAGTTGACTAGCTGACTAACAGAATAGCTGTTTATCAAGCTAGCTGCTAACTGACTGTCTGCTTGCTACCTTACAGAGGGTAAGGCACTCTTATTTTACAGTGTCACATGTTGTTATGTCACCGAGCTGTCTTATAGATAGATGCCTTTCTGAGATCTGCGCAAATAATACAACACCACCTTTTCTCCCTTTTAAGAATAAGAGATATACCCTGGTAAACATACAAGTGCCCATTAGTACATTATCTTTCATAGAATCGCTACAGTGTGGAAATAGGCCATTTGGCCCAACAAGTCCACACCAACCCTCACAGCCTCCTACCCAGACCCATCCCCCTATCACCCACCTAATTTACACATCCCTGAACACTTTGGGCAATTTAGCATGGCCAATCCACCTCGCCTGCACATCTTTGGACTGTGGGAGAAAACTGGATCACCCGGAGGAAACCCACGCAGACACGGGGAGAATGTGCAAACTCCACACAGACAGTCGCCCAAGGATGGAATTGAACCTTGGTTCCTGCCGCTGTGAGGCTGTAGTGTTAACCACTGAGCCACTGCGCCATCCCCATCTTTATACAGATGTTTGCTTTCCATCCTTATTATGCTGCTTCATGCTGTTTAAAAATGTCAGTATACAAATGATCCGTATTATAGCAAAATGCTTCTCTGATTTTGTTGGCTTCCCTCTTTTTTGTTTCTCTCCTTGTAAGGTTTCAAATTTGCTGCTTTCTTTCACGAAAAGAAATAACTGACAGTCCCTTTATATAGCATGCATACCAATAAGTAACTTTATTCTTGTGCTTGCATATTTTCCAAATAAAAACAAAATCACAGAATAAACGTGAAGAAAAAGCCTTAATGACATAAAGACGCCTTTCTTCTCGTTGCATTTCAAGTGGTATTTTATTTTGGAATAGTTTCTCTGAATTGGAGCTGACCTGGCTCTCTTATAACTGCCTGTTAAAGAAAATGGTCACACTGTCACCTCTTAGAGAGACAGTATCCACAACTCTTCCTCTGTTGTGCTTTCTGTGTTTTGGTATAGTTGTAGCCTTCAGTCTTAGTTATTAGATGTGAACATCAAGTTGAAGTTGGACCTACGATGGGTGAATTTTAAGAAAGTAAGTGCTCACAGCTGCCTCTGCTATTATTTTCTTTCAACTTTTGGTACCAACCTGCTGCTACTAGCCTTTAGTACTCACCTACCATCACCATCTTCTAGTGTTCATTTGCTTCTCCTGAGATGTGATGTGATTTTCTATCAGTTAGCCCAGGTAACATATATTATTAGCGACCATGTACACAAATATGACATTGAAAAATACTTACACAGACTGGGTTATAGGTATTTCTAATCAACCTGTTCAGACATGTTATGACACTTCTGAAATAGCTGGGACATGAACCCAGGGCTCCTAGCTCAGATGTGGGGACTCTATCACAGTGCTCCAACAGCCCTATTAGACTGGGTTTCTATTATATGATATATATAGTTGACTGGCTTTTATTGTTGATATTCATTCATGGGACATACGCATCACAGGCTAGGCCAACATTTATTGTAAATCCTTAATTGCCCTGGAGAAGATAGTGGTGAGCTGCCTTCTTGAACCACTGCAACCCTTGGCATATAGGGGTTTCCACAATACTGTTAGGAAATGAGTTCTAGGATGTCAACCCAACAACAGTGAGGGAACGCTGACAGACTTACAAATCAGGATAGTGTGTGAGTTGGAGGAGCACTTAGAGGTAGTTGTGCTCCCATGCATCTGCCACCCTTGTTCTATTTGGTAGAAGTTGAAGTTTTTGAATTTGCTATTGAAGATATTTTGATGAGTCACTGCAGTGCACTTTGTAGATAGTACGCACTGCTGCCACTGTGCAATGGTGAAGAAAGTGAATGTTGAAAATGAATGTGCCATCCTAAGACTGTAAGACTGTAAGAAATAGGAACAGGAGTGTGCCATTTTATCCCTCAATCCTGCTTCACCATTCAATAGGATCATGACATTCCTCACATCCACTTTCCTGCATTTCCCCCGTAACCCTTAATCCCCCATTGATCAAGAATCTATCCATCTCAGCCTTAAATACACTGAAGGACTCTGCCCCACAGCTCTCTGTGGCAAGGAGTCCCAAAGACTCTCAATTCTCCGAGAGAAGAAATTCTTCCTCATTTCAGTTTTAAATTCAGAAGTCACATGACACCAAGTTATAGTCCAACAGGTTTATTTGAAATCACAAACTTTTTGAGTGCTGCTCCTTAATCAGGTGAAGTCTTAAATTGGCACCTCTTTTTTCTGAGACTATATCCTCAGGTCCAAGACTCTCCCATGAGGGAAAGTATCCTCTCAGCATTTACCCTGTCAATCCCCATGAGAATTCTATATGTTTCAATTAACAGGCTGCTTTGTCATTGATGGTGTCAAGATTCTTGTGTGTAGCATTCATCCACACCGGGGAGAGCATTCCACCCCACTTTTTTACATGTCTTGTAAATGATGGACAAGCACTGGGGGCACAAGAGGTGAGTTACTCACCACAGAATTTTTAGACTCTGACCTGTTCTTGTAGCTACAGTATTTATATGGCTGGTCCACTTCACTTTCTGATGAAGGGCAAACTCTAACCTAGGAAGATTTAATTGTTATAATGCCATTGAACATCAAGGGGTGATGGTTAGATTCTCTCTTGTTGGAGATGTTCAATGCCTCACCACTTACTCAAGCCTGGTGTTGTCCAGGTCTTGCTGCAAATGAACATTGCCTGCTTCAACATCTGAGGCATTGTAAATGGCACTAGATATTGTGTGATTATCAGCGAACATCCCTACTTCAATATCATAATGGAGGGAAGGTCATTGATTAAGCGCTGAAGATGATTGGATCAAGGACATCAGCCAGAGAATCTCTTGCAGAGATGTCTGGCGCTGGGATTATTGACTTCCAACGATCATAGTCATTTTCCTTTGTGCTAGTTATGACTCCAACCAGCAGACAGGGTTTTCCCTCTAATTCTTGCTGACTCCAGTTTTCCTAGGGCTCTCTGAGGCCATAATCATTTAAATGCTGCCTTGAGGTAAGGTCAATTGTTCTTATCTCATACTGCCTAAATTTTCTCCCTCTTTGAGGCAGTATTTCCTGCTTTCTTTCATTCTTTGCTAACATTTCTTTCTGAATTAAATTTCAAGCTTCTACATTTATCTTGTTTTTCCTTTATTTTACTCTTTCCAATTCCAAAGTTTTCATCTATTTTTCTGTTTCTAACTTGAGCTGCTTAAATTCTTTTTCCATTTCAAGGTCCTTCATCTGCAAATTAATTCTGGTTAACTCAAGCTGCACTGTATCAGAATTTGGCTCTTCTTCAAATTCTAATTGATAGACTAATGCATCCTGTTTTAAGTTATATCTGCAGATTCTGGCTAATGCTATTAGCTTAACCTTTGCTAATTGTTGCAGATCACTCAGGGATAAATCATACCTCTTTTAAAAAAGCCTTAGCAATGGACAATGCCAATTTGTTTTCCTGTAGTTAAAATAAATTTACCATGAAATCTCTTAACGTAAACTTTAGCAAATTTGAGCACTAATATCCATCTGTAGACTTGAAACCCCACTAAGAAGCCCAAATTTTGTCACAATCTTGGCGAAAATCAATATTCTTTCAAAAGAGAACTCTGAAATTCCAGTTGTTTTTAATGAAAGAATGAAACTACGATATTCCAGTGTAAGCAAAATATTTTTTGCTGTGCAAGTCAAACAAAGCAAACACTAAACGTTTCTTAGCTAAACATGTTTTAACTGTATTCAAAAACTCAAAACCAACATAGTTAAACATGAATTAACAGGCAAATTGTGATTGATTTTTCTGTTTTGAGGTCCTTCATCCTTATATTGCACATTAAATGGCAGTTACAACTAGGACAGATCTAATGAGTTGGCCTAGCAACCCATCTAGCATATTATGTCATCAAACTTAGTTACAAAATCCTTTTAAACTCTGTCTTCTTCGTGAAGAATTTTAACTTCTCTCCTTTTAAGATTCAACTTGATCC